ACCAAACCCCTTTACTACTAAATGTGCATTCTGTAGGAGGGTTAACCCCCACCATTCTGTAGGCTAAACACCATCACTGATCATACACATGTATGCTTGATATTTGGTGGTACTGATTTTGTAGAATTACAGTATTCCAAGGGCCAAAGTCATCAAAGTACACTCTGTCTTGTTTGATGTCTACCTGCAAATGTTTCCCAACGTAACCTGGACGCATTGGACACATGTCAACAAAATCTGGACGCATTGGACTTGGGGTTGTCTTTTTGGATGCGTTGAAAGCTGAACCTCCAAACTACAAACGACCTTGCCCCTTTCAATTCGGATCCACTCGGTTTAAGAGTGACCTTCGGCCCCATCGAGAGTTCCATGTGGGGAGCTCAACATGCCGTCTCCAACCTGGACAACCTGGTGACCGAGTTTTTGAGCGCCTTCGAGCGACAGCGGGCCATTGCGTTTCAGATGGGCCAACTTGTCCAAACTACATTGACCCGATCCAACATATCCAGATCACACACCCAAATGTAGGCAAATATTCCATAATAATCCCACTGTTTCTTTTTCCTTGGGCCGTCCTCACCAGGGTCAAAAAATGACACTAAGCAGCACAGCACTTGTCAACAGAAGTGTTTTGGGCTCGCCCCCTTCATCATCTTTGAAACCTTTCTACTTTTGAATCCTAGACACCACTCTCAAGTTGAACCCAGACACCACTGCGAAGAAAACCACCAACCGCCAGACCGGCGTGATTCTGTTTTGATTCTACGAGTCAAGCGTCAAGCGATGTCAAGCGGTGTGTGCTCGGGCGTCGACCGGCGCATGTCAAGCGTTTGCGTCGAGGAAGGGCGTTTCCTGTCCGAGCCAAGTTGCAAAGGCCTCTGGTGAGAAGAGAAGCCCAGCAGTTAGGATGTGTTTCAGCACGTGGGAGTCATGCTTCTCACTTTGGAGTACCTGCAAGTGGCCACAAGTGACGCCACAGCGATGTCACGTCCAAGCTCACCGGGCACTTCACGCATTCAAGCATCCACCGACCTGTGGGTGATTGAAAAGAAACCTTTCAAAATTACCAAAATTACACAAGATGAATTCCGACCATGTTCTGACAGTTGAAATCTTCTTTCTGGTCGCTGGCAGCCGGTCTGATCAGAAAGCTCGAGACTCGAGGCAAGACGTCGCATGAGTCAGGCAGCCTACATCGCCCCTGTTTCTATCCCATGTCCACGGCTGAAAACAAACCAAAACTGTGTCCCATCTGCAATACAAGATTTCCGAACCTGCCAGCCTCGCTTGAGGGGTGTGGGACCCTTTCTTTGGATCCTTGCTTCTCGAAAGCGTCCTCCCTAAGGTTGCACGGGGTCCGATCGAAGGCTAAGACATACCCCTGAACAGAATGCAACAGAGAATGCTGTGCATGTGTTGCGCTGGGGATTTCTGACGGTGTACTCTAGACCAACAACGACATGTCTGTCCCAATTCACGTTCCAAACATGTTCATTCCTCTGGTATGTCTTCGTTGGCGCACGGTCTTCTGGAGGGCTTCCATGAAACGTCCAGCGCAAGCAGCTTCCATGCGGGGTACCCGAATCTGTGCTCCGGTAAAAGGACTCAGCAATCCTGAGGTCTGGCACCCCGTGGGACGTCGAATACGTGCTCATTCGACCTCTTCAGGGTGGGTTTGGGGTGGACATGTTTTGGAAAGTGTCAAGCCCAAGAACTTCTTCCAACGACCCGGATTCAACCGGGTTTGAATAGCTTGAAACCTGAGAAAGGCATTAGAATCCCTGAGTGCCATGGACACGCGTGTGCGTGTCCTGTTGTTTTGTTGTCCGGTTGCAACTCAATCCCATATCCCCATGTCTATTCCTGTTCCATTTTGTCCCCCATATCTTTTCAACCGAAATCGTGTGTGTGTGTGTAACCCTTGGCGTCATAGGGATCCTTCTGGATTTGCTTAGTTTTTCATAGCAGGGGGTGCAAGCAGCCCATCCAGTCTTGCACCAACGAAGACACTGG